TATATATATATATATATATATATATATATATATATATATATATATATATATTTCTTTTTAAAGAAAATTTGATGATACAAAATGCTGTCAGAAATGTCTACATTCATTCCATGCTAATCATCCAAATAGTAAAATAAAATTGATCATCCATCCATAAGTCTACCTGATATTCCTCCTATCTCCGATTCATCCTCATCTTCATCTTCATCCTCATCTTCACCTTCACCTTCTTCATCCAATTCTTCTTCCTTTTTTTCATTATCATCTACTTCATTTTCACTTTTTCTTCTTTCCACTATATTTTCTTCCTGCAGCATTTTTTCTTGATCTTGAAACATTTTGTCCTCTTCCTGTTCAATGTTGGCATTCAAATTCATCATTGTGAGATCAGGCAAGCTTTCATCTTGATGCACCAGTCTATTGGTACAGAAATGGTCATGTCAACAAACCGAACAGCTGTAATTCTGAAAACACTAAATTTAGTTACCTTGTAAATTAAAACAAACTGGAAATGCATGAATACATGAGTCACACACTGTTCAAAAAATGAAAACGCCACATGGATTGCACCACAGTAGCAATCATTTGTTATTTTGATGCTAATATTCATATCAGTAATCAGTGATATTGTCACCTAAACTTGACGTTTCCCCACAAAGGGGAAAAAATGGTCAAAGTTTAAGTTGTAGAAGCATGAAATGACATGTAACAGCAAGCATTTCATGACTTCACATGGGGACTTACTCATTTTGATGGATTGGTAATTTTTTCTTGATGCTGCTCAAATAATTGAAACAGAAAGAAAAAAGGAAACGAGAAGAGGAAGATCAGAGATAAGACATGATGCTATATGACTCATTAGCATTACCCATCTGTGGCAGCTTTCAAAAACATATTGTCTTAACATAATGGATTTGCTCATAGCAAAACCAAAAAGTACAGAATTTCAGAATTTTTAATTACTCTTTCTATGTATGAATATGAAAGTATGAATCCTCCCAATTTAAATAAATCATATCCTAAATATATATTTATATTTCTAATTATTTATAATATGAGTTGATTCTTCTTTAGATTCATTGGCATATTTTTTCTAATTGAGGATAAGCACAGAAAAGCAAAAATTCTATGAACACTTTTGGAAGAAGTTAATATATGACATGCTATGAATTATCCATATTGTTCCAGTTATGCTTTCAAGAATTATGTAGCTAAGTTCAGTATAAATATACAAGATACAATGTACATTGTTTATATCAATGAAAAAATTGAAATGATTAAAATATGTATTCTAGAATTTTGATTTTATTTTATCAAGTTACATTATTTGCATTGTCTCCTTTCAAAACAGATTGTACAGTATCAAGGTTATATGAAACTCAGAAAAACATTTCACTTTTATTTATCTATGATAAGCAAAACTCTCAGGATGCAGCACTAGTTTCTCTTTGTAAAACATTGGCACTGGAGAGTGAAACTTCATATTTAGCACTAATATAAATTGTCTAACATTAAATATGTTTGCCTAGACTTAAAGCCTTCATTCCATGTCTACAATTACAAGATTTACTAGACATTGTTTAGTAGAAAACTAAGTGCTACAAATTCTTGAAAGGACTGGACTGCATCAAAGGAATAAATATGCCATTACATTTACAGCGCATGCAGACTCAGGCAAATAATTGGATAACATTAATAGTTATGCAGGGATAAATTGCTGGCCATCCCAAATTCTCAAAACGGTTTTCAATGAAAACAATGTTAAAGTCTGGAAGCTTATGTGTAATTGATAGGAATGGAGATATTGAGAGTCAATCAATTATTGGCTAGCAAATAAACAAACAAACCAATAACAATGGTTCCTGGCTCAAATATTATCTAAATGAATATCCAGAGGGAATGGATAGTCTACATGAATGTTTTGGTGATAAAAATGGCCATCTGTTGTAGTTATTTAAAGGTGTTATTAAAAAAAGCAAGAATCAAATAATTATGAACTAGAACAAAATTTTACAAAGGATCCTCAGTCACTAACTTGGTCGGGGTTTTCCCCCCGCTATCAATACTGTTAAGGTCCCTGAAGGTTATACTTTGATGATCCCATTATACTGAAATAAATTAATTGATTTCATTGTTATTTCTTTCTATGTATGAAGAATCATAGCCATAATGAATAAAATATGATGCAAATATCTTGTTTTAAGAGGTATCATTCATACATATAGAACCCAAAATATATTCATGTATATATTATTCTGAGGCTTTGGTACTGATCCAGTATATCTTACACAGCTATAGCTATTATTAATTCTAATAAGTGATTATGATGCTCATTTTAAATCATAGCCATATTGTCAATGTTGACTTGGATGAGTCAAAGTCAAAAAGTAGCACTAACCACTGAATTTCACATCAGTTTGTACTCTGAGCCTAATCCTCCTCCCAAAGCCCAAATTTTGAAATCCTAAAAATCCTAAAGTCAATCCACCTAGTGGCTGATGTTTAAACTTAATAAAAACATATTGTTGCCCATTGGTGCCCAGCAGAGTAGGACAGTGGGGAGAAACATGGGCCAGTCCTGGAGTCTGGGGAGAACTTGGATGAGGAATCTGCGTCCGACACAGAGATGGGGCCAGGGCCATCTGAGAGTTATGTGCTGACTCTGGAGCCTTCAGAATCTAGGCAGAGGAACAGGGGGAGCCTGTTCCCAGTGCGTGCTTGCGCAGAGCTGGCAGAAGGCAAGAACAGTTAAGACAAAAGGGGCAACCCGTGAGTAAGGCTTGGAGATGATTGGCCCCTCCCATAAGACATAAAGGAGGAGCAAAGGGACAGGAGCCTTTTCAGGAAGCAACTTTGTTCATTCTGGTCGGTTTAAACTCTGAAGCTCCCTGTTGACTTTGTGCTCCGTTTGGCCTTGTACAGCTAATTGGCAATTTAGTCGTTGGCAGCATTTCAAGGGAGATAAAGGTGGGTTCTTATCAGCCCTATCTCAAAAGACTGGCAGACTATTGGACTATTCATAAACTGTTTGGGACTCATTACAGGCTGTGAATGCATATAATTCACAGCCATTGAAATAATAATAAAAAAGGTTTTTGGGAACAGCACGTGATTGTTACTGTCTTAGGAAGTCTTGGTCAGAACAAAACAGTATCCTTTTTTCAATGTCATATCTGGTCATCACAGCTGATGATATTCCCGTATAAAGACAATGAACAAACAATAGAGGAGATGGTGTTATGCCAGAATTATGCCCATGAAGAATTTCTGTTTTCTGTTTTAACTCAGTTAACAAACAGTCATTTTCAAACCAGTTATTTCTTCTCTTGCCTATCTCAGAATTTGGCTGCTCTTACTTTATGATAGGAACAAACTCCTTATCCATGAGCCATAGGCTTCATCTATCTGCCTGACTTCTACCTCCAGACTCTATGTCGCATATGCTTGTCTAGGTTATAGTTTTCTTTGCCAATTTTTCATTTTTAAAACCATGTGTTGAACTGAAAGTTACATTTTTGTCACTATAAAAATGTCTTAATATGTCTTCCTAACTGATAAGTTGCTATAGGAAAACAGTAAGTGAAAGTTAATTTAGGAATATTGAAACAATGAATTTCTGATATGATTGATTAAATGTATATATAATGTACATAATTTGTGTGATTATTTGATATGACAACAACAATTGATTGAAATGATGTACTGGTAATCTATAAAAATTACACAGATAACTACTGCCATAAAATAGTTTCTTATTTAATGGACACCTACTCCCCCAGTTGGTTCATTAAAATGTGATTTATTAGTATTACTGCATCATTGCTTATGAATTCAGAATGAAAATAAAAATAATAAGATTGGGAAAATAATTTCTGAAAAGTTACTGAAACATGAATAATGCCAAATTTGCAATGGAATTATAGTTTTCAAAACATGTTAATCCACTTTTATGGCTCAGAGAAGTAAGTGAACTTTAAACATAAATATCTTTCTTTTAGATTGATAAATGCATTTGTTTATAGTTACAAACAAAAGACTTTAATTTTTAGGGTCCAACTTATTTCTACTCAGATGACTCCACCATTATATAAATATCTGAAAGGCTATTTATACAGCTTGCTAATCACCTACAATAATGAAAACATTACTTCATTTCATATAGAAGTTAGTGAAGCCCACAAATTTTACTTTAGAATGGACTAGATATGTCCAAGTTAATTTTCATAATTGGACAGATGCAGCCTGGGTATCTGTTTCATGATCCCTCACACTCATCTACTAGTTATCTTTTTGAATGCTGGTGGGTCACGCTAAAGAGGAAGAAATCAAACTTTAGAAAAATCAAGTTGTTTACAATTCAAACATCTATGAACATGTTCAAATAATTCACTAAATGCATGAACTGGAAGATGTTTTTTATTACTCCAAAAAATAAATCAAGACACATTATGAAGTAAGTGAACAAATATTCAGTAGAAAGAGGGAAACACTGCAAGGAAATACCATACTTTGTCTTAATTTGGGAACATTAAAAAAATCCTGCTGATCAATAAGTGAAGAAGAAAATAGCAACTAAAATATACCTTGTTTTTTCAAAAACTGATATAAGAAAAAGTAACTGAGAAAGTTTATTTTGCACATTAATAAATTCTTCAAAGAGTAAAAAAAAAAAGGAGGGAAAAAAAAGGAGACTACAGATGACCAAGAGGCAACTTTTCCAAACCAAGATAATATTCAGAGGGGTATGCTTAACTGAACAGTCCTCCTAAAAGTGTTCTCCATTGTTAGGGTAAGTTTGACATACTGCAGTTTTGTTGGACAGGTAGTCCTCAACTTACAACCACAATGAGCCTTTTCTGACAAGCAAAGTAAATGGGGAAACCAAATTTATGGTTAAGTGAATCTGGTTTCCCGATTTCCTTTGTTTATCAGAAGGTTGCAAATATGAACCAGTTGCTAAGTGTCTGAATTTTGATCATGTAACCTTGGGGATGCTGCAACAGTCAACTGTGAAAAACGGTCACGTCACTTGTTTCAGTGCTGTTGTAACTTTGAACTATCACTAAATGAATGGTTGTAAGTCAAGTCAACAAGTCAACTTGTTAGTCCAGGTTAGTTATATTTTGAATATAACATATGCAACATTTGAACAAGAATAAAAATAATTTATGAAAACAAACATTTTACAAACAATTTTTCTCTAGGTTTACATTGCCCATCACCTATTCCTGAATCCTAGAATAGCATGATGCAAGCGAAGAAGAATGTGTGTGAAAAACCAAAAAGATCCAACATGAGCAAGATGCATCAAGATGCTATTTAAGATGCATCAGAACTGAATCAGTTCTGAATATTTCTCTTGCACTGCTCTATTTCTTAGCCATATTTTCCACTAGAATCCAGCCAGATTTTAATGCATTCTTACTTTACTATGAAGATGCACAGCCTCAATCACATTGAATATAAACAGATATCATAATAAGCCAGCCATAAGAGTGCTTCAGTAAAGGCCCAAACAGAACAGTCATTAGTAAGAAGCTACAGTCATCGTTGCCAACTTTACAGCAGCCAGCCAGCCATAATCAATATTATGCTGTGCAGAACCCCTCAAAATGCAGATATAGAAAATTGTGATACAGAAGCAAAAACAGAAAGAGAAAAGTTCAATTATAGGGAGGCACTGAAGAGTATCAAGTCTATTCAAGGAATAAATATTTGAGCCTAGTCCCTGATGAACAGTCATTGCAACAGATGGAAACTGAAAGCTATCAAGACTTTAAAAAGAGCAGAACAGTATTACAATAATAGCTGATAATAGAGAATAGGTAGATTAATACATAGATAGTTCAACATTGAACTGTGGGCATTTAGTTAGTTAGAAAAATAACTTAGTTATTTTCCTGAAGACATTTCATTACCAGGTTAAGCAAGATTGAAAGTGCATGGAGGAGTGGAGTTTGCTGGCTGTTTATATATGTTGGCTTGCCTTGGCAGTTTTGATTGACGTATGGTTTCTTCCTTAATGGTTGCTTGATTAGCATATTGTTTCTTCCTTGGTCATTATCTGGTGCTGTTTTCTGCCTATTTGGGTGTTGCTGGCCAGGGAGAATATGCTATGAGCTATTTGTTTCCTTCCTTGACTTTTGGTTGCATCGTTTAAATGATATTAGATGAGATTTATCTTTATATGTCTGTGGATGACTGATCTGTGTGAATACCCAATATCCAGGAGTTTCCCAAGAGTTGTCTTGGTCTAGAACAAGGATGACAAACTGGATTTCTTTGAGAGACAGATCAGCATTGTGGTTCTCCTCCACGCGCCAGCCAGGGGCGAGACGGGACTGACACTTCCCACAGTACCCTACCGGCCAAAATGGGGTGTGGGGGGCCATACTGCCAGAGGCACCACAGGCCAGTCATTTACTATTTCCAGGCCAGCCCCGCAGGCCAGATTTAAGCCCTAAGACCCCTGGTCTAGAATGTCAACAATTTCCTTGGTAGGGCAAGACACTCGACCAAACTTGACTCTCGTATGCACCAATAATGCTATCTAGCCTGATAACAAAACATCTGCAGGAAAATAACCAAACTTGGAAAACACCAAGAACCCAATAGTTGATCATTTGGCAATAGGTTTAGCCATTCTGCTACCTCAGTTGTTCCTGGATACATTTTTGGGTTACCTTCTAGATGCTCTGAATTGTAGCTTTTTAGAATACATGGGATAACTTACTTCACTTCAACTTTTTTCTACTTACTAACCTTCAGATATTTGCATAATCTACCATTAAAATCACACTGTGGTTATCTAACATGGTAAATAATAAGGCATTCATAATATAACTTTCATATTGCTATATTCTGGAATAGAAGTGTCAAAAGCTTTAAATTGGTAGTCACAATAGAGTGACTATCAACTTCTGCTTTTTTGTGTATTAGAATAATTAATCAGTGGAATCGCTTGACTCCAGAAGTTGTGGTTGCTCTAACATTGGAGGCTTTTAAGAAGAGATTGAACAACTATTTGTCTGAAATGTTATAGGGTTTCCTGCTTGAGCAGGGGTTTGAACTGAAAGACCTCCAAGGTCCCTTATTCTCTCTTATTCTTTGTGCATTGGGTTTGCACTGTTGCCACAATCTTGATTCTTTTTATCACAGCTTGCAGATATCTCTGCTGTAGAATCTATTTTTTGAAATTATTTTAATATGTTACTATCTTCATGTTTCCTTTGCTTCTTTATATATCCCAACTTACTATTTACTTGATAGAACAATGGCTTAACATCCAGTAGAAAATAAAATAAAACTGAATGTATCAATTGCAAGTCATTTTTTTTTAAAAAAGCTTCAATTAAAGCAAAGGGAATGTCATACACATACATTAAAGCCCAAATACCTGAACTCCAAACACTTAGAATGTAGTTGATTTAAAAATTAAAATCACAAATGTATGCACATGCATGACAATATATTGGTACCAGCATGTTTCCAGAGGAAATCTTTATGTCTAATTAATTTAAAGAGGCTAAACATTTACTAAATTCTGCTCAGCTTTAAAATGAACCAATATTCTTAGTTTTTAAAAGTAGACTATTAAGATTCCACTATATTAACAAAAGAATTGTAGTACTGGGAAGTTGTGTTATTTGAATACCATTATGTTATCTAAGTATCATGAATAGCCTTATTGTTTTTATTTTAAAGATTGAATGTACAACTAAATAAACACTATATTTTTAGGTAAAAAAAGGAATAATTAAAATACCCACCTATTTATTATAAGATAAACACGACCATTGACTTTGGCATGGCTTTGGTAACAGATGAAAGTGTGAGAATGCATAAGGTAGCAGCAGAAAAATTAGAGAAAGAGAAAGAGAAGAATACCGTTAAACAGGATTAAAGATAGATATTTTTCTCAGGAAGCACACAAGGAAAAAAGCCGCAATGATGTAGTATGCATATTGAAAAAACATCACAACCCCTGCAGAAAGAAGAACATGTAAACTTTTATTTGTCCATGACTTCATTTTTACTGCCAGAAACTAGAAGGAGGAAAGTACATGAATTGTTCCATCTTGTTGTCTCTCTTATTTGGCTTGTTTTTCTGTTCCCATATATTAAATGTGGAAGTTAGTAGATAAAATGAAATAATATACGTACATACATAACTATACATATATGAGAGCCAATGTGGTATGATGCTTATAGTGTTGGGTTAGAAACTAGGAAACTGTGAGTTCTAGTCCTACTTTAGGTATGGAAGCCAGCTGACTTTAGGCCAGTAACACTCGATCATCCAACTTACCCCAGAGGTTTGTTGTTATGGAGAAATAGGAGGATAAAGGAGTATTAGGCATGGTTGCTACCTTAAATTGCCCAAGATATACAAAAGATGGGATAAATATCTACATTTATACATCTATATCTATATATCATCTATATCTTTTTAACAATAGTTACAGATATTCCCCACAGAGAATTATCAATTATACTTTCAGTCATTTGTCCACTAAAGATGAAAAGTTTATTAGAAGAGATAGCTTCCTCAATTCAGCTCAACAAATATAGTTGAAAACAAATAGCAATTACTCATTTGAAAAGTTAAGCCGTCAAAGCAATTTCCTTGGGTGATCAGTTTTGATTTTTTTTTACATTTTAATGTTTAATATTTCAAATATTTTTATAAAAAAACTTTATTAAACATTAAAAAGATAAATACAAAATGCAAAACATCAAATAATTTCCTATACCATTTGTGAAGAAAATAAAAATAAATGAAACACACACCATACCACCTGTCTCTTCCTAACTACGCTGACACCAAAATTATATATTCCTCATGATGTCATGCTGAGAAGTATATCCTTTTGTTCTTGCCTCACAATGTCATTTCCAAGTACTCAAGGAGTAGAGTTTATATTATGATTTATTGTAACTTACAATCTACTTGTAGACACCTGCATAGGAGACTGGAGATGCAAATAATTTAATTGATCTATATTTGCTAATTTTTAATATAGATTTTTGTTTGTGCTTTTAATTCCCAAAAACATAGTGGTCTCTTATAAATTACATCATTTTGGGGTATGGGAAGGCATATAGTCTCATCAATCTTTTGTTAAGTTTTGATGCAGTTATTCTTAATTCTTTTGGGGTAGAAATTTAAATAATATATTATTCTGCCCTTATTTCACTTCTCTGAAAGCAGCTATTTTTTAAATTTTCTAAGTTGGCTTTTGTCCTTAAAGAGCATTCCTACATAGAATCAGATAAGAATACAGCAGTGACTCTTTTGTGATACAATATCATTATCCCTGATAGATTAGTTTCACAAAGGTTTCCAAATCTGAGTCTTATGACATTTTCTTCTCTCTGTAGGAAAACCATAATAAGCATCAACACGATCTATTTTGACTGTAGGGAACAAGCTGCATTTCTTTGTCTCTTGCATTTGCATTTTAAATTTTATTTCTGTAAAACTTGTTAAGATAAAATGTTTAACTAAAATAATACAATGTTAAATCATTGAAAGTTTTCAAAAATAGATTGAACAACCATTTGACCAGGATGATATAAAATAACTAGAAGACCTCCCCCAACTCTTTGATTCTATGTTAAAAGAATGTTAATGGTCAATATATATAACCGAATTCCTCCTCAAATTATGACGAATGCAGCAACACTGAATATATTTTGTAGGGAATAAATCTCATTAAATTTTGTCTACTGCTGGGAAAACCACATATAAAGAATTCAGACCAAAATAGCATTTTTGTGGTTGCAGTGAAGGTTTATAGATCACAAGAATTCTAAGTGGTATTTATTATTCAGTCACAGAGAATAGGCCATCTTTCTCTAATTATACTCTTTTTCTTCAAAATCCAGAGTGATAGAGACAATTTAATCAACCAACCAGCCCCACAATTCAAACCTTGGGGGCAATAAAATGAAGGAAAATTTTATGTTTTGTTTACCTGTAAATAGCACTGTCTTGTTTGCTGACTATGGCTTTTAAATCTGTGAGTTGGAGGAATCGATCATGGAAGTAATGCAAGTGCAATATGCATACCAAGAGAAAGGACGTTGGGATAAAAATGCGAGTAAATAATTCTGCTATAGAATACTGTTCTAAGCCAAGATCCTTTAGCCTGAAACATAAAATAATTCAAATTATAGCTATATTTCATAACACGTAAAAAACCTTCACAATCTTTTAGACTTGTCAGAAAGCACAAAGAAAAGTTAAAAAAAAATTATTTTTACAAACAGTAAGCAGTTTTGAAAATTATAAAAAAACAACAAAATAGTAATAGCTATTCCGATGGGATCCAGAGATGGATCGAGAAAAGACTTGCAAGAAATGCTTCTAAAAATAGTTGTGAATGTTCTTTATCTATTCCTTAACCTAAAAATCTAAATTTTGCTGTATTCCAGGGCAGAACATTACCCAATGTTGACCTGGTATAGCACCAAGATTTTATCTTGGAGCTTACAATGTGAAAAAATGAATTCAGAATTATAATACAAAGTAACATGCAAAAAACAGAAACAAATGATCATAACTGAAATGATGTTGAAAAAATAGCAGATGAATTGCCTTTTTGTCCCCAATTATTAGTTCCTATTTCATGTATTTAAGCATATGTTTATTCTTATTTCTATTATATTGTAAGCATTTAACAAAATAAATAAATAAAAATAAATTAAATTCAAAGACCTAAAAATATTAGATTCATAACATATTAAAAGTCTTAGGAAAAATAAAAAATGGTTGCTGATTGTTTCAAGCTCATAAAAATAAGCATGTGCATTCTGCCAATCTAAGACTGCAACTGTCTTGTTCAGTATAATGGATAGGCTGCATATTGAATGATACCTTCACTAAATACAACTTCAGCAGAACTCTCTGAATCCAACATTGTGAAACTTTGGAAATAGTTCTGGTCTTTTAGTTTATAAGGCTGATAAGTTTCTTGTTCATTTTTTTCTTTTGTGACTATATCAAAATTCACTTATAAGTGAACAAAGGTTGACTGAAAAATATTTTTTCACTAAACAGCTTTGTTAAAAAGAAATCCTGTGATCTCTTGTTCCAAAACAGAAATTAGTGGAAAAGTCTTTGGTTTCCACAAAACCATAGTGGCAATTTTTTTCACCCAACATGTTTGACTACAGAACAAGAGATAGGGAAGAATGGCAACTGCAGAAGTAAAAGCATGAAATCTGATCAAAGACATACAGATAGGCATCAATTTACAGTCATAATAGGGCCTGGAATTTTCATTCATATGATTAGACCTTAATTTACAACCAGTTTAACCAGTGAATCAGGCAGTTTTAAAGTGAATCATCTGGTCATTAAGTGAATATGGCTTCCCTCATTGACTTTGTTTATCAGAAGACAGCTAAGAAAGTAGCAAATTGACTAGAAGACATTGCAACCATCATGAATGTAAGCCAGTTTCCAAGAGCCCAAATTGTGATCATGTGACTGTGGGGCACGGATAATCATAATAATCATGTGACAATCATAACTTTGAGGACGATCTCCCTTTTAATACTGTCACAACTTGGAATAATCATTAAACAAATGGATGTAAGCCAAGGATTATTCATACTGCAATGCAATAGATGTTTTTAATGTGTGAATTTAGCAACATCTGAAGGGAAAGTTAAGGGTGAGAATCTTAGAAGCAGTATCACATTATTATGACACAAACCTTTCTGATTTTGAATTCATACTGTAACATCAAATTTAAGGGTAGATCTTATGGCTTAAGTGTATAATGCTGTACAATGTTGCTTTTATTATTTTGATGAAAGCATGAAGAACATGCCATGTACTTGAACTAACAAAAATACATGCTAAGTCAGAAGCTTTGACACTTGAAAACTATGCATATGGTGCACAAACCATGCACAATTAATTTCTTTAATTTAGCTTGGAATGCTTTCTAGAATGAACATAACTTCTTCAATTATTGGCCTCCCAATGGTCTCATATTTGATTTCTGACGGGATTGAGTTAAAACTGAAGGTACGTGAAAAAAAATAAAGGTTTTGGTTAAAAGTTGAAGAGATAGGACAAGGTATGTGGACTGATTTTTAAAAAAGAAGCTGAATATTTGTTTCTCCTAAAAGAAAGGTATTTCCTAAGTATGATCACTTATAAAACATCGGGAATCTAGAGTAATATTAGTGTTTCATAATACATCATCCAAATAAACTGCATTTTAAAAAATGGAGTAATAAATAATACTTACTGATCATCATTCATGTTTGTCATGTTTTTCCACAAGTCAGGGAATGCTTTAAACTGATATGTGTAAATGAAAACAAGCACTAACATAGTGTAAACCACAACTGACATCCAAAAATATTTCAGAATTCGTCTCCACCAGTCATAGTGGACCTAGAAAATAAGAAAGTAAGTCTCACATAATGTTCATCATTTACAGTCATTTTTCACAATTCAGTTATCACCATTTGAGAAATTTTTCTAAGGTTGTTTGATACATTTAAATTCCAAGCTACATTAAGCTGAACTTAATTGTTGTTGGTAGTCTTATTCTCTTTTTGCTTTTATCTTCATCTTGCCCTGTCAAAAACTTATCTTGATTTTGATTTGACTCACACTTGTTTATGGTTTTATGTATGTTTACAAGATTGATTAATTTTGTCCTTTCAATCATTTTTAATCTAATGACTCCTTATGCTTTGTAAAAACAACATATTTAATAAAAAATAAAAAAGAGAAAGAAATAGAATGGCAATGTTTTTTAAAAACTAGAATTTTTACTACTTACCTGATAGAGGACTACGCAAAACAAGAAGAGCATCATATAGATGATTTTGTACATGACAATTTTTCCCTCAAAGCTGACAAAGAAGAACATTCCTCCGCAGACATAAATCCAGTACTTAACAAACATCGCCATCACCATGTTCCCTAGGACTTTCATTACATCATCTTCTTCTTCCTCTTCTTCTTCTTCCTCCTCCTCTTCTTCTTCCTTCTCCTCTAATTCCCCCCCTTCTTCTTCCTCTTTCTCTTCTTCTTTGGAGGATTCTTCTTCTTCTTTTTGGGATTCATCATCTGTAAATGTAAAATGTAACATTAGAATAGATGACATTAAGTTATTTTACAATGTTATAATTATTGATAAAAAGTTCAACTGCACTGGTCACATTGGCTGATACGATAAAACATAGGCACATCACATTAGTCAACAATGCAGTATATTCAATTAAAAAAATAAAAATCAATATACAAATGCATGAATACACAATTTAGTAAGAAAAGATGAAATAAGGAAAGGACATAGATTCTTCATGTCACATCTTGAAAATCTGGGTACAAATTTTAATGCCACCTTTTTATGGCAACACTGTACAAAACTTAAATTGATTGAAAAAAAAATCAGAAGCTGAGTAAAACTAATTCTTAATTTAGTTAATTCTTAATTTTTCCCTACTACATTTATAAGTACTTATATACAGTAGTTGAAACCTAAGAGAAGTATTTCCTAGCTCATTGTGTACTTCTCTATTGACATCAATATCATGATACTACCTTGAAATGTGTATTCACCTTTTTCTTCACTCTCTTCCTCTCCAATTTTGACCTCTGACAAAACAGTTTCATTTAATTGCAAAGACTTCCGCTCAGTGAGATGTTGTCTCAACAGCAGCCAAAAAGTAAGTCCAAAAAATATCTGTCAGCAGAAATTGAAACCAAAGAAGAGACACACTATTGAATAAGTTATTGAATTTCCATGAGCCACAGTATGGTGATAAACTGAATGATACTGCAAACTTCTTCTATATATCAGCAATCAATCTTAACCCTGAATTAAGTCATAGAAATATTATTAATGTCCTCAAAAAGTATCCCTGGCTTTTCATCAGCTATACATGAATATATATCACAGTATATGACATAACATTGCTTTCCAAATATATACTGGATTACAAATGTTGAAAACATGTTAGCCGGTGCTAATGTATTTGGAAGGCCAAAAGTTGGGAAATGTTGTCATACACAATGGAAAGGCCTAAATGATCATTAGAACCAAAGAGGCTTATCGTACTCCTTATTGTGCTTTGGCTTGCAGCCTGGTTTATAAATTAATAAATTATAAATTAAGCTAAGTATAAATTTAGAGATTGGCTAAATACTCATCTTAACACGTTACTTTTTTTTGGCTTTCTTTTCTCAATTTTATTTATGTATTATTTATTAAATTTATTTGCTGCCCATCTTGTTTTCAAGCAACTCTGGGTAGCTTATGGCATTACAAGCATTAGAAGCATAAACGTTAAATATTTCTAAAACAATAAAAATGGAAATTACAATCAAAAATATAATTATTGTTAAAAGATGGGGAAGAAGGGAGTAGAATGCAGAGGGGGGGAGGGGGGATTGCCTATTAATTCCTCAATCACCCCCGTGATACTCCCCATTGGGGGCCCCAAGCCATATGGCAGAGCCAAGTCTTCAGGGCTTTCAGGGAAGTCAGAAGGGTAGGAGTAAGATCTTTCAAAGGTCAGGAGCCACAGCAGAGAGGGCCTTTCTCCTGTATCCCACCAGACACAGTTCCTTGATTCACGGGATTTATCACTTGTCTCCTCTGCTGGGGTGGGGTGGGCCAATCCCAGTGTTGAGGTGGTTCCTCAAGTAACCTGGACCCATGCCATGTTATGCCATGCTTTAAAGCTAATAATCAACACATTGAATTGCACCCAGGAGCAAACCAACAGCCAGTGCAGCTTATGAAGCAGTGGTGTAGCATGGGCCACCCTAGGGGCCCCAAGAACTCCCGGCACTGCTGTATTCTGCATCAGTTGAAGCTTCCAAGTGCAGTTCCAGGGTATCCCTACGTAGAGTGCACATTGCAGTAGTCCAGATGGTCAGGGCTGAAATGACTGAGCACAGGGACTGCTGATCCAGGAAAGGCCATCATGGCACACAATATGCAAAAAACTGTGCAAAGGCTCTCCTAGCTGCAACTGCCACCTGCTCTTCGAGAACTCCCAAGTCATAGACAGGGTGTATCTGGAGTAGTGCAACTCCATCCAGATCTAAACTAGTTATAAGTCTCAGATCTTGAAGCTCCATGTACTCAAAGCCATTTGGTCTTGCCAGGGTTCCACTGAAGCCTGTTGTCCTCCATCCAGGCCCCAGAGTCTCCCGACACTCCAAGCAAAAGCCCTCTTGGAGTAGTTTCTGTTCTCAGTTGATTGATAACACAGTTGATTGATAATAAATGGCTTCAGCCATGCACTAACCATGAGTGAAAGAAAAGTTTTTGTGTTATCATTCATATTCTCTGCCAAGTGGCCAAGAAATCATAGATTCTGCCAGGGTATGTAAACTTATGAACACAACTGTGTGTGTGTGTGTGTGTGTGTGTGTGTGTGTGTGTGTGTAAATGATAAAATTGATAGTTAGATTCTAAACATTTAATCCTTTGATAGAAATTCATTTCAGGCATATCCAACAGAATATCTGGGTAACTTTAATTATTAAGTAAGGAGTGTCCAGCAGAGAATAAAAGGACAAGAATGACCTAGCGCAAGGCAGGAGAAATAGCAACAATAACTATAAATTATTTTAGGAATCTATGAAGAAAGTGTTTTTCATCTAGGAAAAATAATTAATGGACCCAACTAACTTGTGTTCCTAAAGATGTTCCTTAAATACCAAAAGACATTTGTTACAGTCAAAATAAAATATAAAAAGTATTTTAGGTATATATTTTCAGATACTAATCACAGCTATCATGTTGTATTTTTGAGAAATCTAGAGATTATTCACCACTAATATAAATTCAGGTTTGTGTGCAATTATTACCTTTGATCCTAATTCAGGAGGTGCTTTCCGTTCTAGAAATCCAGAAACTTGAGGAAGTTCACTATCATTCATCTCAAAACTCCATATATATTGAAATGTTAATAATAAGTTTCCATAAGCCACCATAAAAGGTGAACTTATCATTGCATATTTCCTACGGTCACGAAGCATCCAAAGTATGCAAGACCATATCAATAATACAAATGTTAACCAACTGTGGTAAGTAATACTCCAGGCCTTGAAGGAAAGAAAAAGAAATAAATACTGTATAATCTCATCAGTTCAACATTCAATGTATTTGAACTTTAGAATCACAGAATAGGAAGGGGTACTTCAGGCCATAAGTTCAGAACTTTGCTCCTGGCAGGAATATAAATTAAAGATTTCAAAACAGATGGACTCCTGCTCTCTATGGAATTACTTCCAATGAATGGAAGCCAACCATATTTGTAGGTCATTGATTCCGCCACTCTGATTGCTAAGTATGGTCTACATTTGGCATGTTTCAGGAAACATGCTTCCCGAAACTTGTCCTGCAATCTGAAACAAGAGACAACCATTTCTGACCTTTAGCTAGGTGACATCATTTCAGGTATTTTTTTCCCCTTTGTTTTTATTTATTTTATTTTTATGTATTTATTTTTGTCAATTGCTTACAAGATAATAGGTATAAGTAAAAACATAGTTATGAATACATGGATGCATATAAGAAAAATAAAAAAAATAAAAGAAACAATAGGACAGGGACGGTAGGCACGTTGGTGCGCTTATGCACGCCCCCTACAGACCTCTTAGGAAAGGGGTGAGGTCAATAGTAGATAGTCTAAGGTTAAAGTTTTTGGGGTTTGGGAAGAAACCATAGGGTCAGGTACAGTATTCCAGACATTGACCACTCTGTTGCTGAAGTTGTATTTATAATCAAGTTTGGTGCGATTAACCTTAAGTTTGTATCTATAGTTTGCTCTTGTGTTGTTATGGTTGAAGCTGAAATATTCATTGACAGGTAGGACATTGCAATGTATGATTTTATATACTATACTTAGATCGGACTGAAGGTGGCGTAGTTCTAGGTTTTCTAGGTCTAGAATTTCAAGCCTGGTGGCATGAAACGAGTAGAGGAGTGGAGAACTCTTCTTGTGAAATATTTCTGGACTTTCTCAACTGTGTTAATATGAGATATGTAATGTGGGTTCCAGACTGATGAGCTGCATTCGAGTATTGGTCTAGCAAATGTTTTGTATGCTCTAGTTATTAGTGTAATATTACCAGAGAGGAAGCAACAGTACAGTGGAATCCAGAATGATCGCTACCCAAGTTCAGCTCTTTCAGTCTGTCAGGACTGAACTTAGTTTAGTTGATTGGCCTAAACTGCCAATTTTCTGAATTGTTCCAGTTGATCTGAATCCTTCTTCAACTTTATATCGTTATTCTGACCAAAACAAAATATAGTGGACGATTTAGAAATGATGATTCTGTTTAATTTGCCTTATTTTTTGCAATCCAGTGGAAAGAAACTAGATAAATGAGATGAGGACTCTCTGTCTGTCTCTCCCCTGCATCAGCAAGATAATGCTCCAAAAACTGAAGATAATTTTTAATGCATTATTTACTACCTACATACTAAGCAGAACTGAGTACAATAACAATTGTAAATTACATAAAATACAATATATTATCGCAGGCTCCAGTCCCCAATCCTGTGCTTTATAAATTTGAAGCTTCAAGATCAAAATGTAATGTGAAGATGCTCTTTCATTAATTCAAGCAGACTTGCAGTGATAAAGATCAGAAAGAACAAATTTAAACAATATCACTAATCATAAAATATTTCCTGGATCACAGCATTGTCTCAATTTCAAGATGGACCAAGAACCAATAGACAATACAACCTACCATCATGGCGATCAAAGCACAGACATAACTCTGTTTCATGATAAAATGGAAAACTGAGACCATTGCATGAACTTTGGAGCTTTCTTCTTCCTCTGAATTTTCTTCTTCTTCCTCCTCCTCTCCTTCCTCTTCCACTTCTTTCTTTTCTGGGAAATAAAAAGTACTGTATGAACTGCAAATAATGTATATGTAATATAGCTTCAGAAAGCAATTTAGGTAATCTGATAATTAAAACCTATAAGCAAAATGACAGAATATGGCAGTAATCCACAAATATCTTGCACAATGATGACGTGGCAGCTGTGGATATATAATCAGATCTGTGTAGCCTAAGCAAGGTTGTTGGACACCAGGAAAGCCAAAGGACCTAACCTTCTAGAATATTTAGATCACTATTAAACAAAAGTCCGCTACATTTTTGCTATGCTAGTAGTATTCTGCCAATCTACTTAAAGATGGAAAGAGTACACATTATCATTATAGTAACTTCTCCAGCAAGATACACACCCCAACAGCCCCCAAGGTAATTGCAGACACCATAGGAAGGTATGGATTGGGATGCCAAAATATAGGTGATTTATAGGATGGCCCCTATCCTCCCTCAGTAAAATGAAAAAAGTAGATGAATTTACATCTAAACAATTAAACCATACAACCATTTATTCTCACATTTTGATGACTACCTAGATCGTTAGCTGAGGGATCCCACTTGTATTGTGGTCTTGAGTACAGATCTGTCTTGGCAGGTCCATTTTCTATAGGGCGCAAAGGGTGTATGCTTTGAAAATCAACAGGTGTACCATTCAGTGTCACAAGCAGGACCTATTGAATGAGGATTAAGAGGAATCCTTTGAAAACAGGCAACATGGGAAAGCAATCACTTCTACTCCTTTTCTTGATATAAATTCAGGGCTGCTTTCATTTTCTTTCTCAACCATATAGATTAAATACAAAATAGGACACACTCAGATATTCAGAAGATTAAATAATGCTTACACATACAAACATCTAATACCCAAATTAATTGCTTCTTAAAGAATACTTATATAGAGGTATGTTCAATTTAATTTAATGAACTCTATTTTCAAATAATTTTGCTCACAAACTGTCCAAAATGTCAATAGCAATTCGGTATACAACAATAAAATATTTTTCTGTGTTTCTTACATGGTATATAATAATAGTTCTAGTATACCTATCAGCTTTAGAAACCAGACCGGACTAAGAAACTAATGTCATAAAGGCCCAAAGTTACTTTTATTAGACCAGCTTTACATTGTGTGAATTAGGGAGGATAAATCTGAAGCATTTTCTCAAGTTAGTTTCTTGGAATGGACAAGATACGCTTATCTGATCATCGCCTCTATAATGGCATTGTCCTTCAAGGCCATTCTTTAGGCCTTCTGCATCACTTCCAAAATCACAATAGTTCCAAATACAGGTCGTTATTACCATAATGTCCCACCTGTAGTTTTCCATACATATCTGACTACTTTAAGGAAACAGGATAGTGGAATATACACTGCTTAAAAAAATAAAGGGAACACAAAAATAAGACATCCTAGATCTGAATGA